GACTCTGATGATCTTCCGGATTTTCCGCGATTTTAATTCTTAGAAAGCTCGGAAAGTGATCTCGGTATCTTGAGAAGGCGGATTCAAAATTCGGCGGGGCTTCTTCTCTCACGGTAAAATTGATCAAATTTGTTGTACGTAAAAATTATATAATTTACAAAAGAATATAATTTATTTATTATTATTATTCCGCAGTTGAATCTTGCGGAAGAAATCGCATCGAAGAGATTACCTTTTGTTGGAAAAATCGCGTTATCCGGCGGAACGATGCACTTTGCGCGCGACAGATGAACGATGACGATGGCAATGACAGTCGCGAGAGAGGTATCCTGGGATCGGGCGGAGGGTGCAGCGAGGGGGGAGGGTGGCGGCTCTATCGCGGAAGAGCGGAGAGGGCTAGGATATAACCGGGATATAACGCCATGTAGCTCTGCAGTCAGTTGCAGTCCCCGGGGGTGGCGCGGGGGGTGGTTAGCGGTGTTTGATGCCGGTTATCATGTTGACAGACACAGCGAGGTGGAACTGGGCGCACCAAGGGGAGACAATTACAAATCGTTGACATTTACGCCAACACAAACGATTACATGTCCGCGGCGCGTTAGGTATCGTCTCTTTCGGGCGTAAACAGCAGTCTTGGTCGTGTTTCGTTTCGTCATATTGGACAAGCTGACACACCGAGTGTTTCGGGAATCGTCCCCGCGAAATGGACAGCATCGTACGAATTGTCCTCGTCAAGTTATCGCCTGCTATGTCGGCTTCACCGACGGCAGCCGGTTTCGCTTCGAAACCCGTCCGTTTCTAATCCCGGTGAGCGTAAATAAAATGAAGGGCCGAGTTCGGTGTAAATTTTTCGCCGCGCGATGGAACCCGCCGTTCGAGAGGGACAGTTGGTCAAAAGGGACAACTGGCCGCATCTCTTGCCAAACGGAAGAGCTGCGAAAGAGCGGCGAATTACCGAATGCATATTAGCGCGCGATGGGTCGTTTAAGAGCGCGTAGTCAATCTCTCCGACGGACGTTTATGGAGAGGGAATTAATATACCGTACCTTCAACTTGCAGACCTTCGCCGATGATATATGTACACGACCGCCTCACTCCCCCAGCGTCCACTCCTCTTCTATTATCTTTTGAAGTGCTTGAGAACACCGAGGCTTCGTTAAGATCTAATAGACACGGTCGTAATTGCAAAGTTACAAATTATACAAATCGGACTTTACTTTCGTCGTGTTTCATCGAAGAAAGAAATATGCGCATGTTGATTGGCGCGTAGCTGTAAAATATATAGAAATCACTTAAGTCTCTTTATGCAGTGTCCGATAAATCAAAATCTCTTAATAATTTTTCATAAAAGATAAGTGAAACAAATTTTTTTAATTGGTTGCATAATTTTCAAGAAAAATTATTTTCAACACAAAAATATCTTGCTTCCATTTGGCTGTACATATCGATTTTATTAAGGAGAGTGAATTATTGTCTTACAAAAATTGATGAGTGAAAAAAAAATTATGAATGACGAAGGCGCAAATCTCTCGCTTCAATGGTATTATTTTCTGTTGCAGGAAAGAGCTTTAGCATCACCATTACCGTATCGACGACACCACCCCAAGTGGCAACCTACACGAGAGCGATTAAGGTGACCGTCGACGGACCACGGGAGCCGCGATCGAAAACGAGTAAGTGGATCATGCGACACTTTATGCGACGCTTCGATCGCGAGATCTATCCGACGCGGCTCTGCCGCACCGCCCCGGGGATTCCCTGAAAATGTACCGATAATTCAACGAAAGTCCCTGTACGCAGTAATGGGGAGTCATTACCGAGCAGATGGTGCGCGATGATGCAGTGGTCGACGTGCGTATCGCGCTTGGTGCGTGTTTCGAGTCGGGCTATTCGCGCACCTACGCACACGCGCGCGCGCGCGCGCACACATGCACGTGGGAGACAATGCTTTTACAGAACGCGCGTCCGTGCGCGCCGGATACGCTAACTCACTTACGCTAATTCGCCGCGAAAACCCCCGAAAAATTGCTAAAACATTCTGTTGGCGAACTCATTATCGGTCGGCCGAAATTGATAGAATCACGCGAAACGCACTAAAAGTGGATCGGGGGTCCGCTCCCCCCGACCTTCCGGTTTTATAACTCGGGCTGCGAGTCTGTTACCCGGCGTCGGATCGAAAGGAGATATCGCACGTCTGTGCGCGCCCAACGATTCGGCCAACACCTATTTTCGGATGCATTCGCGGCGAGCAAAAAAAATGGTCGTTATTTCGATATCAGATTAATAGCCGTTGCGGAGTTAACCGCGAAAACGGCAGTTTTTTGCGGGCGTTTCGCATTTGTTGTATAAAGTATTGATAGCAGCAGGGCGCCGCGCACACCCGCCGACCCCGTTTGTTTTTTTTTTTTCGTAA